CTGCAGTGTGTGCCTAGGGCAGGACTCAGAAAACAGCCAGGAAGAAAGGGGAACAAATACATTTCACATCAGTCTGTGCATAATTAAACCCAACAGGCCACTTTTTTTTTTAACAGCATAACCTGATAATTGATACATATATTGATTGGAGCCATTGACCACTACGCTGTAAAGATCTGGAGGAGAAAATTTAGAGGAGAACTTACATTTGCTGTACCTGGGAGGTCATACCGTGGAATGGCAAAGAGCTTGGGTCTTTTATTGGGCAAATTACTGAATTTCTCTGAGCCTCAGTTTTGATTATTTATAAAATGAGGATAACAGCACCTGCTTTATATTTTTGTGGCTTAAGTAGGGTGATACATGCAGAGTGTCCTTTACAAATTATGCTGTTATCATTATCATGATTAATGTGATTTACCAAAAACTTGTGTGCAACGTTGGGGAACAGTGATAATAAGGGTGACGATGATAATAAAAATTCAATTTTCTTTCTTTCTTTTCTTTTCTTTTTTTTTTTTTTTTTTTTTTGAGAGTCTCACTCTGTCGCCCAGGCTGGAATGCAATGGCATAATCTCGGCTCACTGCAACCTCCATCTCCCAGGTTCAAGCAATTCTCCTGCCTCAGCCTCCCGAGTAGCTGGGACTACAGGCACGTGCCACCCCACTCAGCTAATTTTTGTATTTTTAGTAGAGATGGAGTTTCCCTATGTTGGCCAGGCTGTCCTCGAACTGTTGACTTCGTGATCCACCTGCCTCAGCCTCCCAAAGTTCTGGGATTACAGGTGTGAGCCCCCCGCGCCCGGCCTAATAATCCCCTTTTCTAAGCACATGCTGCGTCTTGGGTACCATGACAGACCTTGGATCAGGAGAGTGCGCTGTCCCTGGCCTTCGCCTAGTGAGTAGGAAAAGCTCAGTGTGGTCTGGGAGCCCATGAAGAAGCCCCAGCCCGGCATGGGGATGGAGAGGAAAGAGGTACATCCACCCCTGTACTTATCAAGTCTTTCCTGAACATCTATGAAAGGTCAGGCCCTATATCAGGATGCAGAACATCCCAGATGGAGGCATCAGTAGTGGTGGCTGCTGCCCATCTCCTTGCCTTGCTGAGGGACAGGCACCTCTTTTTATTTTGTGTTGAGCATGTCTCACCTGATTGACAGCTGCTTGCAGGGAACCAGTCTAAATGGAAAAGGAAAGTTCATTCCAGTGGCTTCTAGGAGAGAAGGCTAGTAAAGTGGGGAAGGGGCTTGTCCTAGACTCAGGGAGAGTGCATGTTTAAGACTGTGGCACACAGTAGGTGCTCAGTAAGTGGGGGGCTTTTCTGTCTTTGATGGATGAAGTAGACCATTTTCACTCTTGGTCCTGTCACCATTCCAAGGGGAAGCAGAGCGTGATGGGGAGTTTGGTTTGGCCTGGGTGTAGTGAGCAGAGGAAGCTGCTATGTAGACGTGTCACAGGATGGAGTCAGAAAGCTTTTCTAGATAGGGAACTCTTCCCAAACAACCTTTATGGGAAGAATCATCCTTCCTGTGTTTGTGTCTGCTCCTTCTGCCCTCACTGGAGGGGCTTGGAGGGGTCATGAGCAAATGTGAGCCAACGTGCTAGCAGCACATAGGTTCAGGTCTGGAGTGGATGGGATCTGGCTGCCCAAGGTGCTGGTGGAAGTTGATGCTGCAGCTGTGTTTGCCAGGATGCCTTACTGCAGCATGCCTCAAACTCGACTGTGCGTGCGGATCACCTTGTCTGATTCCTCTGTGGCCAGGCTGGAGATTTTTGGGCTTCTAACAAGCCTTAAATGATGGTGCTGATGCTGGCCTGAAGACCACACCAGAGGAGGAAGACAGCAGAGACTGCTCCTGCCCACACCTACTCAGCACTCTCTATTTGTGTGTGTGTGCATGTGTGAGCATGTGTGTGCGTATATATGCGTGTGTGCATGTGTGTGTGTATGAGTGTGTGTGTGCGCTGATCTGACGCCTGGGCTTGCTTTGGCCACCAGAGTCTGCTCAGCCTGGACCTGGGAGGCAGGCAGGAAGTGCCAAAGCAGCCTGTAGCTGGGAGCCTCAGTTTCCCACAGCCGTACTGTCCTCAGGAACACATGTGTTACTGGCTTTCTTCCCTCCTCGGAAGCTGCTCGCAGGCACAGCCTTGTCTCAGACTCTGCTCCTGGAGAAGTCAACAACAGATGTTGTCAGTTATAAAATCTGACCTTCTAGGCAGAAGGGGAGTTTATTGGAAGCCTATCTGGAGGCTCAAAGAGTACATTTAGAAACCTGACAAGAACCAGGAGAAGCCCTGGAGAGTCCAGGAGCAAGGATGCAGTAGCCAGGATGTGCCGACCAGCGGCTGCCTACGCTCTGCTGGGAAGGCGCAGCTGGCCTGATCTGTCCTCACCTTCGCTCTGTCCTTGTGCCTCGATTTGATGGTGCACTTGGCTGAGCCTGTGTCACGTCCGTGCCTTGACCTCCAGAGGGCAGAGAGAAGGATAACGTGCACTCTCAGATAGCCATTGAGGGGTGAGGTGCAGGCAGGGGAATTACCTTTTTAAAAATTGTTTAGATTTTCTTTTGAGATGGAGTCTCACTCTGTCACTCAGGCTGGAGTGCAGTGGCTCCATCTCAGCTCACTGCAACCGCCACCTCCCAGGTTCAAGAGATTCTTGTGCCTCAGCCTCCCAAGTAGCTGGAATTATAGGCATGTTCCACCACACCTGGCTAATTTTTGTATTTTTAGTAGAGATGGGGTTTTGCCATGGTGCAGACGGGTCTCCAACTCCTGACCTCAAGGAATCTGTCCGCCGTGGTCTTTGAAAGTGCTGGGATTACAGGCATGAGCCATCACGCCTGGCCAGGGGAACAGGAAGCCTGGGTGGGCTGCTGAGGAGATGTCCCCTCTCCCCAACTAAAAAAATGTTCAATCATGCAGGTACAAATGCACCAGGTTGTGGGGTTGAAAAAAGACTTGCTGATGAATATGCGAAGTAATGGGCTCACTCAGCTCACAGCATCCTTGCCCTCCAGTGGGGGATGCGGGCTGGAGACCTGGACTGAAAACATCTGGGGGGTGGGGGTGGGGGTTGTTCTCAGCATCTCAAAGTTCCTTTAGGGCAATGCCCACTTAAAGGAATTTTCTCCTCGAATTCAATAAACAAAGTAATTTTGCTTTCAGTTGCTTTAGGAAACTTCCCCTTTCTTCCCAGGGACTTAACTTTAGTAGCCGTACATCCTAACAAAGAAACAGCCAGAAAATAGCCCCAGGCGCGAATGGGCTCTAAGTCATTATTCCGTTAAGTTACCTTCGTTCTGGCTTCTCCGTGCCTCTTCTGGAGAAAGGCCTGAATCAGTGGGACGGGCGGCCAACCTTCTGGGGTTGGAGGATGGACAAGGCTGGGGCAGGGAGGAAGATTCTGTTTCTTCTGCTCCTGATCTAGGAAGCTCTGAGTTATTAGAAAAAGGAAATGCAGGGCCCTGAAGGTTAATTGACTAGGGCTCTGTGAGGGTGATATTCACTGCCTTTGAGGAAAGAACAGAAGTTGAACCTGGCCTGTCAGCAGAGGCTGAGGTGGCAACCCAGCTTTCTTCTCTGAGGACTCTGGTCTCAGTGTTTCACTTCTCATGTATTTCAGTCAAGGCCCATTTCATGGTCAGGAGAAGGGAGATGTTCAGTGAGCTCGAGGTAAGGACTCCAAGAAGGGTCGTTGTCTGAGGCTGGCCTGGAAAAGCCACAGTGAAAAGGCTGGAGTGGCTTCCAGGCACCACAGGGCCCCAGCACCGCCCTCGGAGCACATGCTCTCTGGTGCTTTTTCTGTTGGTTCAGACTTTGTAACCAATTTGATAGGGTCCATCCTTAGTTGCAGGCCAGGCCACATCAGTGGGTGGCCAGTCTGAGCTGTGTGCCCGTCTGAGGCCCTGTGCCTTGGATCTGCTGGTGGGGGACATGAAATGGTTCCAATGTGTTTGTCTAGGCAGCAGGAGCTGTGGGTGGGGTAGGCTTCTGGAAGGCAATTTGGACACAGTGACAATGACAGATCCCTCCAGGGTAAACTCTCACTCCTGGAAGTGGGTGTCCACGTGGAGTATCTACCACTGCTTTTGCACCTGCTCTTGAGATATTTCCAGGCACTGATTTTCTGGTCCAGAGGTGGCCGGTCCACCTGGTGCATTCCCATCCCCTGGGGACTTGTGTAAAGACAGACTCTAGAGCTTCATGCTAGAACCTCAGAGTGGGGTCTAGAAATTGACATTCATAATGAGCACCTCCTCCGATGCTTCTTATGGGAAAAGTTTGAAAACGCTTAAAGTACCTGTGAATGACTGGGATTCCTTTCTTTTCTTGCCAAGTTAACCCTCCCTGGATTCCAAGCAGATCTAACATAATATGACTTCTTCCCCCAACACTTGGTAGAGTGCCTTTGTTGACATAAGGAGACCCAAGGGCTGAGGGTTGCTTGGGATGGATTTCAGAAGGATGTTGAATCCAGAGAGACAGGATCAGGCCTGGGGCAACTGGGATGCACCCTTACTGTTAGACAGTTAATAGTCCAGGCCGGGCGTGGTGGCTCACGCCTATAATCCCAGCACTTTGGGAGGCCAAGGCGGGTGGATAACAAGGTCAAGAGATCAAGACCATCCTGGCCAACATGGTGAAACCCTGTCTCTACTAAAAATATAAAAATTAGCTTGGCTTGGTGGTACATGCCTGTAGTTCCAGCTACTCGAGAGGCTGAGGCAGGAGAATCACTTGAACCTGGGAGGTAGAGGTTGCAGTGAGCTGAGATGGTGCCACTGCACTGGGCAATAGAACAAGACTCTGTCTCAAAAAAAGAAAAAAAAAATTAATTGTCCAGCCACCTGGCCTGAGGCTGGCCATGGGGCAGCTGTCAAGGGTCATCTGAGCATGGCCCTGAAGGACCCAGCCAGTGCTGAAATTCCAAAGTCAGTGCTTCTTCTCCTGGTGATGTTGAACAGCTCCTGAGATCTTTTCCGTTTCCTCCCCAATAGGTGTGCGCCTTGATCGAGTGCGTGGAGGCCGCCAGAAATACAAGCGACGGCTGGACTCAGAGAGCAGCCCATATCTGAGCTTACAAATTTCTCCACCTGCTAAAAAGCCATGTGAGTGTCAGGGCAGTCCCTACCTCTTTTGCCAGCATCTGTACCTGGAACATCGGGCATCCCTTAGGGAAATGTCATCTTCCCACCACTGGGTCATGAGACAGTGTGGATCTTGGGGAGGTGATGTCAGTGCCTGGCACATTTAGAATGTAGCTCCAAATGAAAGCATGGTCCTGACAAGCCACTGGCCCCACTGTCCAGAACATGACTCCCTTTGCCACCCACCCAAAGTTACTCTGCAGGTTCCTCCTGGAGAATTCAGCAGGTAACTTCCCTTGGAGGGATATTTCTCAACACCCAGATCACCACTGCCAGCAACTTCATGGAGCCAGAACAGCAGGAGAGATTACAGCTGCTTTGACCTTCCTGAAGCTCTGAGTCCTTTGACCTCAGAAGGCAAAGGACTTTGCCTTTGGACCCATCTAAGCCTCCAGCCCGGCCCCTTCCTTCTTTTCTCAGCATTTACCTTTCCCTCTTTGGTTGTTGCAGTGACCAAGATTGTCTCATACCTACTGGTGGCTGAGCCGGACAAGCTCTACGCCATGCCTCCCCCTGGCATGCCTGAGGGGGACATCAAGGCCCTGACCACTCTCTGTGACCTGGCAGACCGGGAGCTTGTGGTCATCATTGGCTGGGCCAAACACATCCCAGGTGAGCATGACCAGGGGAGAGTGTGGCCAGGGACTCCCAGCCAGCATCCCAGCAGCCTACCCAATGGCTGTGCTTCTGATGCCCAGATCCTGGCCTCCAGAAGGCCTGTAAAATCCTGGCAAGCCTGTTTCTCTGAGCTCCTTTTTCCTCCTTGTAGCATTGGAGAACAGGTAGTTAGAAGGCCCAGTGAGGTTTATACATTGCTGTGGGCTCTTCAGAACTAGTTACCATTCCAGGAGGGGCCATGATTGCATCTACAATCAGTATAATATTCAAAGAACAAGTTCCTTGAGCCCTTAAAAGACGGAGTAGGGTTTTCGTGTAGACCTTATTGGAATGATGCCAGAAAACACCGGAAAAAAGACCGACTCTCTCTTCCTATGGAGGCAGGCAGAATGGAGCAGTTAGGAGCATGGGCTTGGGAATCAGACCAGGATTCCAATTCTGGGTCTACAGCTTACTAGCTGAGGAATTCGAGGAAGGCCACCTGACCTCTGTCCAATGGGAACACAAGAGCTTTGACGTGAGGGTGAAATGAGATCCTGTATGTGCAGCGTTCAGCACAGTACCTGCAATGCGCTGGCATCAGTTGCATGCCCACTATTGCCATTTACCTGATCTCTCAGGGATGCCTGTCTCTGGATTGGCTTCTGAGATCTTAAGGGCATTTCTGGTGTGGAAAGTGTACATTACATGTTTCAGGCTGTGTGGACTTCCCTTCACTGCATGTGGACCCAAACCCTGCTTTCAGCCTCTCTCGTTTTGAGCAGATGGCAGGAGCTTTTTCATTTTTGTGGATGCCAACATCCACGCATTATATATTACATACATATTGGGGGCCTTTCTCTGTGCAGGTTATTCCTCAACTCCTTTAAGACTCTAATAAGTTAACTCAGAGTGTGGTGGACACATCTTTTTACTGTTTTGGTAATGACCCACCATGGACATGGGCAAGTCAGCGTCCTGTCTGTAGATCCGTTTTTGGTTTGTCTTGGCTCTGAAAGGTGAATACAGCATGCAGACGATACAGCAAAGGTGTCCTAGACTTTAGATGCCAAGGCCCACAGTTGTTTGTTTGTTTTTTGAGACAAATCTCGCCCTCTTGCCCAGGCTAGAGTGCAATGGCATGATCTCGCTCACTGCATCCTCCGCCTCCTGGGTTCAAGTGATTCTCCTGCCTCAGCCTCCTGAGTAGCTGGGATTACAGGTGCGTGCCACCACATCCAGCTAATTTTTTTGTATTTTTAGTAGAGATGGGGTTTTGCCATGTTGGCCAGGCTGGTCTCGAACTCCTGACCTCAAGTGATCCGCCCGCCTTGGCCTCCCAAAGTGCTGGGATTACAGGTGTGAGCCACCACTCCTGGCCCAAGGCCCACAGTTGATTGAGGGAATAAAAAAAGTCCTTCTGCGTGAGACCTTGCATGCCCAAGATACAGGAAGGAGACTTCCTGTGGACGGGGATGCACAGGAAGATTAGAGGGCACAGAGGCTCTGCTGGCAAGGACCGCCTGGTGGCCCCTGGGCATTCTGACCAGGGATCTAGTTTGGTACGCCCTTACTAAGGAGCTCAACCTCCCAGGGATTACACACTCAGTAGTTTTTGAATCTGCCCAGTGCTGGTTCAGCAGAGATGTGGGGTCAGGCCACTGCTTAAGACTCCTCAGCCTGGATTGCTCCACTAACCCAGGGCCAAATTGGGTACAGCTAACCCCTGGCCCCACCCCCACACTCCTGTTCCAGGTTGAGCAGATCCTGCATCCTAGCAATGGCTCATGAGTGGCGCCTGGCGGTCCCTTGGGTCATTGCTTCCTTCTTCCACATCCCCACCCCTGTAACACCACGGAGGGAGTAGATAGGACCAGGAGACCCTGTCTCCCCTGCACTCATTTTTCTCTGCCTTTCCGCCTCCCAGCTCCATCTCCCATCTGTGCCCAACCAAGAGGGCAGGGCTAGAGCAGAGTGGGTGCTAAAGGCATAGACTTGGGAATCAGGCAGCCTGGGCTTTCATCTCAGCTCTGTCGTTACTGGCCTTGTGCCAGATACTGAATTTTTCAAAGCTTCAGTGTCCTTGTCTGTAAAAATCGCGATAGAGCCCTTCACGGATTGCTGGGAGGAGGTATCGCACTTTGTGTGCATGGGTAAACGGCAGAGATGCTTACCATGGCTGTTGATGCTAATAGTAATAAAAGCCTTCTTTCACGCCTTAATTTATCCTTCTCCATTTTTAGTAGAAAAGTAAAATAAAAACAGGGGCTCGATTGTCCGTCTTAAATGCTAATTTGCCTATTTTGCATAAATCTGCAGGCTGAATTCTTTGCCTCCTGACCTTCCAGTGTTTCACGTAAAATTAATTAGTGGAGTTTCCTGCCACTGCATGTAAACCACATATTAAGGGCAATGACACAATCAAGTGCCTGAGGGTTTTTTTGTGTGTGTGATGGAGTCTCGCTCTGTCACCCAGGCTGGAGTGCAGTAGTGTGATCTCAGCTCACTGCAACCTCCGCTACCCGGGTTCAAGGAATTCTCTTATCTCAGCCTCCCAAGTAGCTGGGATTACAGGCGTGCACCACCACACCTGGCTAATTTTTATTTGTATTTTTAGTAGAGTCAGGATTTCACCATGTTGGCCAGACTGGTCTCAAACTCCTGACCTCAAGTGATCTGCCCACCTCGGCCTCCCAAAGTGCTGGGATTATAGGTTTAAGTCACCGTACCCAGCCAGGTGCCTGATATTTTTAAACTAATCAACTTAATCCCATCTCAGATTAGATGTAAAATGTATCTGAAGACAGGCTCACTAGCCATGAGAGAGAGAGAGAGAGAACGAGAGAGAACTGGTTGAGTAGGGAGAATACAATCTGGAGCCCGCCCTGGGACCTGTGTTGGCTTCTGTCCATCTTGGTTCCTGCACAGACAGAAAATGGGGAACTGGCCATCCAGGCTGCTCAGGAGTAGAGCTCTGAAGAACCTGGGCCACTCTCCTTAAACACGAGGGGCCACAGCTCATGCTTCGGTGTCTTCCAGTCTGGCACAGAGGGCATTGCATGCTTAGCTTTGCATGCACATATTGAGAAGTCAGTATACGTCAGGTCCCCTGATAGGTGTTGTGGCTGAGACAAGCAATTAGTTTTGCCCCCAGAATCCCATTTAGAACAAGGCTGACTTCCAGGGGGAACTTGGTTCACTCAGAATCCCAGCCATTGTTCAACTCAGTCTGACGTTGTCCTACCCCAAATGCAGGTTTTTTGTTTTTGTTTTTTACCTTGAGCCTTGAGTTGAATGTTCCAAGTATTGGGTTCCCCATAGGGCAAGCCCAGGTCTTTAGAATGTCCACCTCTTATTCCATGAAACCATGAGCTAGCAGCCTTAATAGGCAGTGGGGAATCACTTGATGAATTTGCAGCCTACTCCAAATGACCCGAGTCTGCCATCCTCCCTCCCTGGGCAGCCTCAGGCTTGTGCCAGCCAGGAGAGCCTTCCCGGACAGTCTCCACCACCCTGCCCAGGCCTTCATGTACAGGGCATCCCCAGAGGCCTCCTCACAAAGGTCCCTTGGCGGCCCTGCTCCCAGGTAGCCTCCGTCTGGCTCAATGAAATATGAGCTGCCGAGTGACAGCAGCTGTGTCTGAAGTGGCCCCAGATCCTATAATTACATCTCCCTTTATTACCTCTGCTAATGGCCCTCCAGGTTGGCAGAAACGATCATAAATTAACACATTATGAACTCCACTTGCCACAAATTATGTGCTTTTTTTTTTTTTTTTTTTGAGCCAGAATCTTGCTCTGTCACCCAGGCTGGAGCACAGTGGCATGATCTTGGCTCACTGCAGCTTTGACCACCTGGGTTCAAAAGATCCTCCCACCTTAGCCTCCCGAGTAACTGAGATCACAAGCATGCACCATCATGTCTGGCTAATTTTTAAATTATTTCTAGAGATGGGGTTTCGCCATGTTGCCCAGGCTGGCCTGACATTCCTGGGCTCACATGATCCTTCCACCTTGGCCCCCAAAGTCCTGGGATTACAGGCGTGAGCCACCGTGCCTGGCCACTGGGAGAAATTTCTAGCAGTAGAGTTGCTAGGTTGAAGGGAGCATGCCTTTTATTTTATTTTTAATTATATTTATGACTTATTTTTATTTTTAAGCATCTTAAGCACTGACCGGGTTCAAAAGCCAAATTTAGAAACAAATGTATATACAGAAGTCTCACCTCTATCCCTGTCCCCTTCCCCTCCAACCTCCTAGAATTCACCATTTTTCTTTCTCAATTTTCCTTCTGGCGTTTCTTTTCACAAATATTAGAAAAGATCTGAACGATTTCAGATGTTAAAAGGTATCAGATACCTATCCCTCCCTTCCCTGCGCAAAATGAAGACACTGTATCACCGTCCAATACTTTGGAGTACACATTTGGATTGTCAAAACTATTTTGGGGGCCTTTTGGAAATGTTCAGGGAGGAAAAGAGCGATCAGGGCTGAGTCCAGAACTCACAGCAGCCTCACAGAGGTCTGGGAACAGGCCTCCCGGGTACACCCTCCGATGATGGCACAAAACTTTCCAAGTCCAGTCTCCCTCCCACCACCAAAGGGCAGGACCATCCCTGACTCCTACAAGATAGGCAAAGGCAGCTAACCCTGAACCTGAGTCCAGAGATCTTAATGGGCCTAACCAAGTTCTTTGGGCATATGTTCTTGTCACCTGGGAGTCAAAGCCCATGACATTTGTCCATTTTCTCTCTCTCTTTAGCTGTAAAGGCAGCTAAAAGGAGAGAGAAAATGGACAAATGTCATGGCAGCTTGACAGCTTCTTTGCTGTGCTCAGCCATGGGGGTGGGGAAAGGAACAGCTCAGTGTCTGTGCACCCTGGGAACTCAGAGCTGGGGTGAGTATTCAGGTGCACCTGAGGATGTGCCTCATTCATCAAATGTGCTCTCACCACCCTACTTGAGAGCTCAGCCCCCAAGGCTCCCCTTCCACAAAACCTCCCCAGACTCTTGTTTGGACCACCTTCCCCAGTTGCATGCTCTCAGAGCCCTGCATTTGCTGTAGCTCTTCTTACATTGTAACCTTGTGCCGACTAGTGCCCCTTGGTATGTGTCTTCCCCTTCACTGTAAGCCCTCGACGGTGGGGAGCAGTTCTGGATTGAGCACACCATTCTGTCCCCAGGGCCTAGCGCAGGCCTGGCACTTAGTAGGTGCTCAGTAAGTTTTTGCTGATTAATGTCTCAAAGGGCAGAAGAGCATGCTAGCCACATCCTAATGATTGTACCTACATGATTCACTGCACAAGGGCTTTTCCCCTGGGTTTCCAGAAGCCTAGTTCTTAACCTCATCCTCTCTCTCTGCTACCTTCCAATTCAGTTGTCTGCTAATTTCACCCCTGCCCTCCTCCTCCATCTCCCCTCCAGTCTGTCTGCTTTTACATCCCCTCCCCAGAGCTGTCCAGCACTCCCCCCACAAACTCTCTGGTGCTGGCTGATTGGTATCTGTTAATTAATGTTGCCCAAGGCCTCTCTCCTACTCAGACACCTGATAAGGGAAATTGGATGTCCATTTCTATCTATCTTTTATTACCTCCCAGCTCCCCCGGCCACCATAGGCAGCCACACACCCTCTCCCGTGCAGGGAATCTGGACAACCACACACACACACACGTGCACATGCACACACGCACATGCACACACACACACCCTGACCCCCTGTCACAACCTCTCCCTTGAGAAGGTGCATCAATCAAAGCTCGCCCGTGTCGGTCGGTGTAATCACTCCTGCTCTTTTGTTGATCACCCATGGATTCCATTAGCCGGTGGTGATCCAAGGCCCAAATTGTATAGATCAGGCTTGGGAACTTGGAGAATGCTCACAGTGTAAGGGTGGGCTGCCTAATTGGGGTCCTTCAGATCCAGGACTGCCCCCTAAGGTTGAACTGCCATGCCCTGTGTGGAAGTCAGGGAAGAAGTGGCGTTTGGGACAGAGGAAGCAGATGGATGGGATAGACCACACAAGCCAAAAAGCTGGCTGGTCCGGAAGCTCAGGGCCACCCAGGCCTCCAGACAAATCCAGAGAGGAGAAGCAAGTGATGCCAATGGTGTGCCAACACCAACAATAATATTAATAGTAACAGCAGCCACAGCCATCACCAGCACCCTAGCATGTTGAATGCTGATGATGCCAGGAGAAGTGCCCAGCATTTTTTTTTTTCTTTGAGATGGAGTCTCACTCTGTCACCCAGGCTGGAGTGCAGTGACATGATCTCAGCTCACTGCAACCTTTGCCTCCCAGGTTCAAGTGATTCTCCTGAGTGGCTGGGATTACAGGCGTGAGCCACCATGGCTGGCTGAGGTACCCAGCATTTTACATGCATCTTCTCTTTTCACGTTCACAGCACCCCGCCTCAGACAGAGGCTCCAAGCCAGGGATGGGGTCTGAGTTAGCAAATGAAGTAAAAAGTCCTTCCTGGGCAAAATTACCCCTGAAAAAAAGTCCCTTCATGTCAGTTACCCGTAGTGCATGGTACAAACAGCTTTGTGGATGCTTTTCCTTCTTTGAATAAATCTAGCATGTCAGTGTTGGAACCAATCACTGAGTTTCTGGTTGAATCTCCAGTGAAGTTACTGCCTTGTGTTTGGTGGTTAAGATGTTTGAAAATCAGCTGACTTATTTACCTACTCTCACTTACTCTCCTATAAATCAAGATGTTAATTGACTTTGCCTAATTTAAGTGCATGTATAATGCAATTCCAGTATAGTATCATTGTTTTGCAGATGAGGACTTTCATCTCATCATTAGTAATAATAGCTCAGTAAATGCTTTGTATGTTCTGGAATAATCATCTCATTTAGAAGCAGACCCGACTGTCCTCCCATTGCCTAGATGAGGAAGTGAAGGTTTGGGGAAGCTCCACAGCTTTCACAAGGCCAGCCTACAGCTGGTAAGTGGGAGTCAGGGTTCAACCCAGGCAATCCCCACAGCTCACTGGACAAGACAGTGTCACAATTCTGGAGCCTTCTCCATGCCTAACTTTATTTTCACTGTGGAATCAGTCTCCTCAATAGCAGGGAGTGGGTAACTCCCATGATTCCAAGTTCTCAGAACAGGACTGCTGGGTCATCGTTAAACAGAGAGTGATGGCCCCGGCAGAGGGGCTCTGACCCTGGGAGGACGGGCTGTCCTGTGAGAAAGTGCCCCAGACCCCGGGGGCTTTGGATCTCCTATCAGTCCCAGGCCGTGGTCACTGTGGTTTTTCCCTATGGCTTTGCAACAGCTGCGTCCTCATTCCTGGTCAGGCCCGTGGGTCTCTGCACAGCTGAGACTGAATCAAGAATCAGGTGTCATTTTCAAACACCAAAGCCTCCCCTGGTTTGAGCAGAGAGTGGGCCCTGGAAACTCCCCAGAGTGGCAGAGAGCATGCACTACTGCCTCCTGGTTCCAGTATGTATTCAGTCACTCCTTTAGCTACAAATGCATTGAATTAATCAAAAAGCCTCTATAGTGTTTGGAAAATACCATAGAACTAACAATAATAATGATAACAACTGTCAACATTGACTAAGCTCCTCTTAACGCAAGTCTTTTCCGTGAATTCCAAGACTGACATATTCCCCAAGGGGAGGACAGTGAGTCTCACACCACACAGGGAAGGCCTAGGGGCAGGATCCGAGGGTGCCAGGGACACAGCCACCCCCCACCCTGACCTCCAACCCCCCCCCCCCCCCAGCAAGTCCCAGGGAGGCCCCTGGCCTGCCCTCCTGACCTGCCGCTGCCCTCTGTGCTCCCTCTTCCCACAGGCTTCTCGAACCTCTCCCTGGGGGACCAGATGAGCCTGCTGCAGAGTGCCTGGATGGAGATCCTCATCCTGGGCATCGTGTACCGCTCGCTGCCCTATGACGACAAACTGGTGTACGCCGAGGACTACATCATGGACGAGGAGCACTCCCGCCTCGCGGGGCTGCTGGAGCTCTACAGGGCCATCCTGCAGCTGGTGCGCAGGTACAAAAAGCTCAAGGTGGAGAAGGAGGAGTTTGTGACGCTCAAGGCCCTGGCCCTCGCCAACTCCGGTAAGCACGGCAGTGGGGCCTGGAGGGGGAGCTTCTAGGGGGTCTGCCTGGGCCTAGCGAGCCCATCTCTGGGGCCTGGGGGCAGGGCTGGCTGCTGTGGATAGAGGTGAAAGGAAAACACTGAAGCTTCTTATCACCGAAGATTGTGCAAAGGGTGGCTTGCAGGTAAAAAGATGGTGATGAAGGCTGGCACTGGCTGATCATTTCCTAAGCCTCGGACATCCAGACTGGCACACTGGTTAAGGACATGGGTTCTGAGGCCACATTGCTGAGGAGCAAATCCTGTGTTTACCAATTGGGCAAGTTACTTCACTGCGTGCCTCAGTTTTTTCATCAGTAAAAGGAGGGCAGCAAACAGTCCCTACTCCACAAGGCTATTGACAGGATTTCTTTATACATAATTGTATTGCTTGCAACATGCCTGGTGCATAATCAGCACTCAGTTCTTTATTTACTATGGATGGGATCTTGCTCTGTCTCCCAGGCAGGAGCGCTGTGGCTTGATCCTAGCTCACTGCAGCCTGAAACTCCTGCTGAGTAGCTGGGACTACAGGTGTGTGCCATTACTCCCAGCTAATTCTTATTTTTATTTTTTATTGAGATGGGATCTCACTGTGTTGCCCAGGCGGGTCCCAAACTCATGGGCTCAAGCTATCCTCTCACCTCAGCCTCCCAAAGTGCTGGGACTACAGTTATGAGCCACCACGCTCACTGTCAACTTGTTAAATTAGCTAGGAGTTTATCAGATTCTTACAAACAACCCAAGAGCAAAATTCTTATTGTTGTAACCTCATTTTACAGATGTGGAAACCAAGACTGGGAAAAGCAAAGAAAATCGCCCAGGGTCACAGAGTTAAAAAGTGTCAGAGTTGCCGGGCGCGGTGGCTCAAGCCTGTAATCCCAGCACTTTGGGAGGCCGAGGCGGGTGGATCACGAGGTCAAGAGATCGAGACCATCCTGGTCAACATGGTGAAACCCCGTCTCTACTAAAAATACAAAAACATTAGCTGGGCATGGTGGTGCGTGCCTGTAATCCCAGCTACTCAGGAGGCTGGGGCAGGAGAATTGCCTGAACCTGGGAGGCGGAGGTTGCGGTGAGCCGAGATCGTGCCATTGCACTCCAGACTGGGTAATAAGAGCGAAACTCCGTCTCAAAAAAA